GTACCGATTGCTCAATCGTCTATTTTTTTCTAATGATCTTTCCCAACTATCTGTGTTGGAACTCACGTATCATTTGGAATTCATGTGGTTCTGTGCCTGGGTCTTGCTTCCCCAGTGGGCGGTCAACTCCAGGTGGGCGAGGTAGAGTCGCCCTCACCCTCTACCCTCTGTCCAGGCCCTGCCACCTGCCAGTTCCCACATCAGCACCAGACTGGTGGCTGTTGCTTGGTTTGTGTTAGTTGCGTGGTTTCTGATTCCGTGCATAGAGCATAATTCATTGGCTTAATCTTCTCTTGCTGGAATCATAAGCTTGAAGAAGTATTTTTTCCACAGGAAACTCCACGAGTGATCTCATTCACATCAATATGAGGAATCGTGTATACTTTAAATTGTTTTAGGAGCCATTAATTGTAGAAAAACGTATGCGTATAACTACCACCTTCGTGTGCAGAGGGAGTCATAGTTATCGGCTTGATTTGAAGGCTGCTGGAGTATCTCCTCCGTTTGAGTAATGCACTCTTTAAGGAGCATGCGTGCTGTTGTGTGTGTTCTATATGATTGACACGATGTTCTCCTGTCTATTCTGCAAATTTCTCCACAATGATCATGTGGGACCTTATAGATAGACTACGATGGATCATCCCTTTCTTCTTACTGTTTTAAACAGTATTCCAGTGAACAGCTGGGTTGTACCGGATGCAAACTTGGAACAAGGACTCAAGGGCATGTAGCCTAGTTGGAGGAAGCCAGGTGCGGAAGGGGGTACCCACAGAGATGTCTCGCGTCCATAAGCAGATTGCAGATGTGGACAGCGCCTGGGTCCCGCTGGACCCTCTGCAGGACTGGGTAGCACGGGCCTCAGAGGAAGTCCGTTTGAGGAGGGAGTCCCAGGTGCCAATCCACCTACCCATCATCTGCTGCTCTCCGATAGGAGCTCTGCAGGTTCCTGACCCGCCCTGTGAGCAGGTCAGCCGTGGCCCTGAGTTCAGGTTGGTGGAAGGTCCTCCAGGAGTCCCCGAGGCCCCGGTGGGAAGCCACAGAATGCAGAGTGGAGACCTCCCGAAGAACGTGGATGGGCGCTGGAGCCTGTGTCCTGGGGCTGCACGTGTGCCCTCTTATGCATTTACAAGGGCATTTTATCAGGTGTTTTAGGGGAAACACCCAGCTTACCTTTTAACATTTTTAACCGGACCCTTTGCTGGGCTCCGTGTGTTTTCGCCTCCCCACCGTTCTGGTCCACCCGGAGGTGCTGGGCTCTTCACACCGCAGCCGCCCTCCTGCTGGGCCCGCCCACCACAGTGAGGACCTTGGCAGGCTCCCTGGCGCTCCCGATTCAGTCCACGGCTGTCACTCACTGCCCACTGCTCCCACGGGCGGGCTTCCTCTGAGTTGAGAGGAAGCTCAGGAAGCACTGACGGAGCCCTCTGACGCTGCAGGGTGAATCCTGTGTCCAGCACGGTGTCCTCTTGGTCCTGGCTGGGCAGGGCAGTGTTTTCCCGTGCTCCCATGGTGGGCGAATGACCTTCCACAGCCACCAAGCTTCATTTCCTCTCCTCCGATGGATGGCCCAGGAAGTCTGACCACCCTACCACCAGGGTCAGCGTCTCCTGGAAGCCACTAACGGCCACAGTCTGTCCTCCCTTCCCAGATCTGCTCGGTCGGTGCTGCTGGAGGTGAGACCCAGCCATGTCCTGGAGAAGCCCTCACCTCTCAGAACGACCTCCAGGTCGAGGGCATTCACATTCACATTCCTGCAAGTTTTACACGTCCAACCAATTTGTTCAAAATAAGAATCATTTGAGCAGAAGAGCACACTCCTTTGCATTTTGAATCGACGTCCCCAGGGAGGACTCCAGTGTGCCATCCCCTGCGCACGAAGGAATCATGCAGATCTGGAACTACCGAGCGCTGTTTCCAAAGGCTGCATTTCGACAGTGTCTTCTTGCCAACGCAAAAGGTTTATGACAGCGGCCCACGTTGATTATCTCATTAAGTTGTCGGATAGACTGACATGGCTGCTCTCTGCAGGCAATGTGGCTAGTGATTATAGAGGCCCGGGTCTCCCTGTAAAGAATGCTGTGATTCAAAAATGACCCCTTTGAGTCCGGTCCCTCATCCCTTCTCCTATGTGACCGCTCACACTCCCGACAGACTCCCTATTGAGGTTCTCATTCACAAAACGTCTTTCCGGCCTGCAGAATCACCTGATTAAAAAAATCACGGAACTGTCTGGTCTGGCTGGCCCCACTGACGCGTGTGTGGTTTTCTGACCCCGAGTTCAGGCTTGGAGAGCGCACACACGGGCCTCCTTTCAGTTACCTGGAAACTCCCTCATGGAGAACATGAGGCCGTCCACGTAGATCATTCCATGCCTCTTTGCTCTGTTCCCGTGAAGGAAAGATATTTTTATCTCATTTTCCTGATAGAAATAACTCAACTGCAGAGAGGGTTTTGGAAGATGAACAGGGTTGAAGGGTCTGGAACTGGCGCCTCCCTCGGTGACTGTCTGGTCCCTGGGAAGCATCGGCTCAGTCTGTGTGACACTGCTCGCTGTTCTTGTCCCAAATGGGCAAAAACAGGGCCCCTGAATTTTTTTTCTCACTAAAGGGCATGTTTCCCAACTTCTTACAAGAGTGGATCCCCTTGATCGTCTTCTTGGAAGCTCAGGAGGTGGCAGAGGAAGCTCAGTTGCTCTGGTGAAGAGGGGCGTGGAGGAGCCAGGTGGCCGTGGAGGATGACCCCGGCAGGCGGCCTGTGGCTGTCCCACCGTGCCCTTCTGCAGCGTGCTCTCGGCACCACCGACCCACATGGAGGTTGTGAACACGGCTTCTGAAGAGCTTCTGCTGGACACCCCTAGAGCTCTGGTCAAATTGCCCACGTTTCTTTTCAATCCTTTACCAGAATTTTAAAAATTCAGTAAAACCCAGATTTCCTGTTTTTCTCTGGAGAGACCGGCAGAGCTGGCCACCGTGAGCCTTCATTTCCCATGGTCAGCTTCAGTTCACCACTCCCAGCCCGACTCCCGGCTTCATGGCGTCTCTGTTTTTACCTGAGTTTGTCCCCAGCCTTGAGCTGCAGCCTCACATTTGGGGAACCAAGCCACAGGGTGCAGAATCGGGGTTGCCGTGGTCCACGATGGCTCCCCACGCTCGCCGGTGACTGCCTTTCCCAGTTACCCACAGCAGATGCTCCCAGATTTCAATACTGAGAACGTGAAACCCTGCCCGTGTGTGTGTGTGTGTGTGTGTGTGTGTGTGTGTGTGGAAGCGGAGCACAACTACAGCTGCCCAGGGCCCACCCGTGGGTTCCCCGAGCCTCGCCCAAGGTCTTAGGTGTGGATTCAGTAGCTCTTGTTTCACAGTCGAGAGGTACAGATGCTGGAGGCGCTGGCTCTGTTGCCCGCACCTTCCGCATACCCAGGCCCCACTGACACTGTGCTGTTGCCGTCTTACATGCACCATGTTCCAGGGAAAAGCCAGCAGGTCCTGTCCTCGCCTCCCCTAACGCTTGACTCCGGTGCCGTTTCCTTGAAGGTGGCGGCGGTGGTGCTGTGGCAGGGAGAGATGGAACTGTTGAAACTGTCTTTTCAAAGTCTTTTTGTGTCACTCGCTACAAACCCACCTCAGTCCCCTGAGCCTCTTTGAACTCTGTCTCGGGTCGGAGAAGACTTGTTTTTAAGAATCAATTGAAAGATGAACTTGCTTAGGCATGCCCTTCAAATGTAAAGAACTATCCAGATCAAATAAGCCACACTCGTCAGTATTGAGGAAATGGCTCGCAAGGGTTTATTTGTGGTAAAATATATCGGCAGTTATTTGGAGGAAACATGATGAAAAGATCGGCTATACCAATACACGGGAGCACGTCGTCTGTTTTAGGAACAAATTGGTTTTCCTGAATCGGTCTCAGAATTCTTCAAAGTAGGTTGATCTTGCTTTTACTGCTCAAAACCAAACCAAACCAAGCCCCGAAGCCTCAACCTGAAAACTAAGAACTGTGAGTGCATCATTCATGGACCTTTCTGGGCTCTTTTCTCAGGCACCTGACAGGGAGGCTGCAGATCTGCCCCTCTTTTCCCTGTGGATCCTGAGAGGCCGCGGCTGCTTGCAGGCTCCGAGAGTCTCTTCCTCCCGAATCTCTCTCCAAGGTCGTCTCTGGTCCTGGGTGCCACTCAGCAGAGTCAAACCTGCCCTCGCTGCTGACGTGGGCTCTTCCTCACTTCTGTCTCCTGACCCAGAGCCCCTCCCCAGCATCCCAGCCAGCGTTTTCCTCTTGGCTCTAAAACCCCCGGACCACCCACAGCCCTCAATTTGGGATTCCACCCTCCAAAGACCGACTTTGGCTCCAGGTTTGGCAAGAGTGTCCTGCCCTGAGATTTGAACCCTATCCTACCTTCCTTTGTCCCCCTCGCCGAGTGTTGGCTCTCGAAGCCTGTGTGCCTCTCCTCTCTCGCACTGACTCCGGTCGTATTTCCACCTCCCTCGGGTTCTTCCATTACCATCCTGATCTTATCCCGCTGGGAGAAGTAGGAAGCCTGGTGGTGCGTTTTCAGAATGCAGTACTTAGCCTTAACTGGGAAGGGAGGTACAACTGTAGGCGTTTTGACTACAGCCCTTCCCTTTGCCCCTGGGATTTTGGAATCACTGGCACGTACACTGTAACCCCCGAGCTCTGCTGCCCAGGTGGGCGCACGCCCCTCTGAAGCTGGCCCTGCCCACCCACCTCTGAGCGCACGTTTGATTCCCTGCAGCCCCTGGGTGTCTCTGACACCGTGCACCGGAACTCGATGTAGGTAGGGGCTCTTGCGTGTCACTGAAACCCTGGTGTCTTTCCCAGTGGTGGTTAAAAACGTCTCTTGAAGGAGATAGAGAGCCTCTGCTCCGTGTTTCCTCCGTGTGCTTGTAGAGAGGCCTGATCTCTGCAGGGCACCTGGGAGGCCCTGGGCATGTGCCTGGGCCCCTCCTGATAGCTCCCCTTGCTCTCTCCCCTCACACACTCCCCCTGCCTCCTCCTGGGCTCTCAGTGGATAAAGAGGCACCTGCCTTCGCTCCAGGAAAACCCTGTTGCTTCACATTGAAATACTGGCATCGACAGTCATCTAGGAGGAAAAAGGGAAAGAGACCGTGATGTTGAAGGAAAAAACAAAAACCATGGAGTTTTAGGGTTGGACCAGGGATCCATCACAGACCAGCTGCTTGCTAAGTGTTCGAGTTTGGGAAAAAAAATTTCTTGCATTTCTTGGATCTCAGCCCTCAGTCTCTAAAGGGAGAACAGGGACACTGTCGTGGAGAACTAGCGAGGGGATGGAACTGAAGGTGGCCACTGCCTGGCCCCTGGAAGTTACTCCATGGTAATCGTCATCACTGTGTTGATCATGATCGCGTTGGTCAGCTGCTACCGTGTGACCGATTTCAGTCACAGCTGGGGTACCCAGTGGGAGTCGGCCGGGCTGCTTCTTCATGAAAACGGCAGAGGATCCGGGGGCAGGAGGTGAGCAAGAGCCCTGCAAGGCCTAAGATTGAGGGGCACAGCCGAGCACAGTCCCTTATGCCGTCACCTGTTGGCCAAGAGGACCACGTGCACCAGGCGGGTGCTGAGGGTGGCCCTGTGCACTGTTAGACAGGCTGGAGAGATCTGGAGGAAGGGGGTAGTCCAGGAGGAAGGGGGTAGTCCAGGAGGTGGGCAGAGCCGGGGCTGACCGCAGTGAGCATCACAGGAGATGCTGCCGGGAAGTCTGGGTGCCTGTGGCCTGCGGAAGATCCTGCTCCGGGCTTTGCTTTCCGCCTCTGTGTGGGAAGGGGTCTGCCGGTGGTCAGGTGGCCAGCAAGCTTGCTCTAGAGCCTGCGGTGCCAGTCCAGGCTCCTCGGGAGTGAGACACTGAGCTCACGCAGACCCTCAGAGAGTAGGGGGCACTGGAGGGCAGCACGGATGGGTGGGTCCGTTGGTCTACCCTGGGCAGGACCTGCAGCCCTCTTGGACTCTCTCTGGCTGCCTTATTGCTGCAGGCTTCCTTCTGCTGTGGAAATCAAGGCCCAGGGTCAGCAAGGGAGAGCGCTTCGAC